AAAATACGAAACTGACAATACTGATGTGACACGCTACATAACATGTATTTTCGACATTGTCCGAAAGCGCTACACCTTTACAGTAATCCAGCCCTTCCTGGCCATGTAGCATCGGAAAAAGCCATCATTAGTCTCTCGTTTCCTGACTATAACTATAGAACTGTGATTAGAAATAAATAAAAGAAATTTCAGGTAAATAGGTTTTGTTAAATGATAAAAGTTATTTTTTATATACCTAGACGATGTGGTTCTTGAAAATGGGCCAGATTGCTGGTGTAAAAAACCAGTTCCGGTTTTCGCTTCGGTTCCGGTTCGATGCCCTGGTAAAAATTAAGCTGGATGTGACGAAACAAACATTAATACTAGAAATCAAAATGTTGCAGTTACTTTATCATAGAGGAACTGTTACGCGATTGGCTAATATCAGTCACAGCGTATTGACTATCAATAGTATATTCTCCATTTAATCTTGAAATATAATAACAGTCACTTGATGGATAAAAAAACCATTATCTTCAAATAATTTATATAATTTTGTTGCCGGAAAATTGCGAATATATATTTTTCGCAATTTTGCATATTTTTAAAATATTTAATTTTCACAATTTTAAAATTTGTGAAACATTTTAATTTTGTTTGAATTGTTGTTTACAAGCTTTGAGAAATTCTTTGAAATTTCCAATGAAGGTTCACAATAGTTCGCTTATTGCATTGGTAATACTTTTTTCTTTACTAGCCAAAATTTTTGGCCACTTCACTTAGACATTTCACTTAGACACTTCACTTAACAACCGGAATGTAAGAAATATGGGTTTCAAATTGATATCGACCGAATATCTACATTTTCTGGTGTACATACAGCTTTTTAAACATGGTTCTTTTGGCGTTTTATGTTTCATTCTGTTGGCCTGAAACGAGTCTGGAGTAAATCTGAGTACTAAGGGACTACTAATACCCTTTTTTTGAGAAAACTATTGCGAAAAACTCTTCTGTTGTTCTTATAAAAAGTGTTATTTCGTAGTTGCTTTATATTGGGCTTAATGATGGATAGTGGTAGATGGAAGGATTGTCGTATCATAAGCCTAGGCAAAAATGCCTAACAAACATAATTAAATTTTTGGTTAAATGCTAATCCAAAAAATTCGAACAAAATGAACAATCATCTTAATCACTAGAAAGCATGAAACTATATTGGCGCAACTATTGAAAGCAGAACTTTGCTATTAAGACTTGATCTTGGAAAATTTAACCACTGATAACGACAAGCACTCAAACAACATTTCCACAGCACTAATCATCTGATTTGTTTCTTTGGTTTTATTGTCGGACTTTCAACTGTCCACAATCAACCATATCAAATATGATCAAATAGAAGGAGATGAAAATGCACTTTTATCTTAAAAATCTTAATCGTTTCTGTATGTTTTTAGTTCGGAATTCTCCATAACTGAAGAATGCAGATAGTATGGTAAGAATCTATTTTACACAAGCTTTTTGAACGGCGATTACCTCAACAATGGAATACACGATCTATTTATTTCTTTTCACTTTTTTCCACTAATGGACTTGTTAGGGCATGCGGATTTTTTGACATCTTCAATGTATTCGTGACCTTGTGGAAAACAATTGTAACCTAGCGCTAAAATATAGTATAATCGCCAAAGGCCATTTTATTTATTGAATTTAGTTCAATTTCAATATAAGTTGTAATTTAACGTCAGTGTGTGATGGAAGTGATTATTTATTTAAAAGAAACCAGTATATTCAGTAGAGAGACTTCGAAAAGTAGTGAACTACAACAACAAAAATTATTTTTATATTATTATAATTGATTGAATTTTTGGCTGTATGGTCAACATCTGTTTTGAGTATTGCCAAATACCCATCATCAGTGGTCTTGGAATTATTTCTTGTAATTAATTATTTGTAAACTTTTTTTAAGATTGCAAATACCAAGAGTTGAACTCGTACCCTGCTAAATTTTGAAGCTAAGTGTCAGCATTCATTAGTCAATTCACCCAAAATCGTACTTGACGTGTAATTAGATAAGTAAAAATTAGATAAGCAAGACTTAGCGGATTTTATATAGAATTTTTCTTTACTAATTAAAGATGATTTTTATCATATAACAATGAAACGATTTTAAATAGAAAATGAGGTTAATAATGAGGAAATTGTTTTGTGAATTTCGTCTTTTTTATATCGTTTTTTATCACTTTTTGATCAAAGCTCTGAATAGTTAACAAGCTTACAAGAACCGATACCTGAACTGCATTGGACATACGCACTGCACTCCATTACTGGTTCAGATGGATAAGGCTACGTTTGGGTTTACTGACTATAGAATGTTGCATAGCTTATATGTTACAATTTTGCTCTATACAGACTTAGAGGAACATTTTTGAATGCTTTATTCTACTACATACACTATCTATAACATTTAGTAAAGAAATCCATCATTCATATGAGCGAACTGAGTTAGTTGGAACTGATACTGCATGAACAAGTCGCTGATATTTTCGATTGCAGATTCGAAGAAGAGAAACCAATTTCACTGTGGGTAATAATAAATTATACATGTAAAATAATTACAATTATTACTATTGCAAGTTTTTGTGAGAAAGCCACAGGAAAATGCAGGAACGGCATTTTCCCACTGCAAATGTTAAACACACATTACGATTACAGGAGCTAATTAAGCTGTTTATCTGGGCTCCAGCACTGCTAAATGCTGTCGGGCGTTTAAAAAATTTCGATATGTGAAAAAATGATTGCAGTATTTGCTCCCACCGCAGTTGTTTTTATGGTAATTAATTATGTTTTAATGCAGTTGCGTTAAACACGTAAATCACGCAATATTTGCAAAAAAACGAGCGTTTAAAAAAGGATTAAATAAAATAAATCAACATTTTGTCTGAATCATTACACTACAGATAAGAAAACAAACTGCAATTATCGTGTACGCATTTGGAATGAATTTTATAAAATATACATTTTTTTATTTTTGACTAAATAAACAATAAAAAAAATTAATAAAAAATCCTTATATGGTCAGCAGTGTTTTATGAACTTGTTTATGAAGTATTTCAAATTAATATCAAAGGTAACTCCGCCAACACTTTCGTTATTTCATCAAAATTACCTTTAACTTTTTATTTATATTTTACTAAATTTAATTTTATACTTAAATAAACGAATATACTTCACACATAATCAATTGTGGATTTTATACTAATTTAATGTTGAGCCTTTTACGAGCTAGCGCATCTGCGCAATTTTACTCTTTGATAGCTGGAGGGTTTCTACAGAGTCCCGCCCATCTCACTGACTAATTTGTGAATGACTGATCTACGATCTGCGTAGTGATTACTCTGAGATTAGATAATGCTAATTAGGGCAGCCTATGGTTTGTGCAGAGCCCCACCCATCCGGTTAGTGGTTACTCTGAGATTAGATAGTGATAGGTAGGATAGCCTGTCGGTTTTCGCATATAGCTTTAGGGATCTATCCCTTATGTATTTTTTGCCCGGATCTATTCTAAGGTCTCTTAGCATGTCATTTGTGCGGATGTACCATGGCACTGTGAAGAGTTTTCGGACTTTGAGCAACCTGCAACTTCTGGAGAGTAGAGTTGGCAGCTTTACTATACGTGACACACTCATAAGGTAGTGCAGGTCTAATTATCTGGTTGTAGATCAGCTTTATATTCTTCGCACTAAGGTTGTTGTGTTTGTAATGTGTTTGCAAGCATTGCAGTGTTCTTGCACAAGTACTTCTTTTGACTTGTATGTATATACGTTGATATATGGAAAAAGTTTATCCCTATTTCTGAACTGCAAATATGCAGGTTAATTACAAACATCGCGAATATAGTCAAAATTTCAATTCGATCTGTGAAATCTTTTTTTATTTATATATCGTTTGAAGTTGACTTGACACGTCACATTTTTTAACAACAGTAGAACATCGCGCATTATGTAGTGTAAGATGCATCTGATCCTTCAAATACAATGGTATATAACTGGACTTTTTTCATTAAACAGAGTGAGCAAAAATTTTTGTGAATTCTTTGATTTCAAAAAAATGTCTGAACAATGGATGCTTTGGGTGGCTTTGTTAATATTATTCCTTAGTTAGAAACTTTTGGATTGTTTTAGAAAGGTTAACACGAATTCATCATTATGAATGGAACTTGGATCCGCAATCATGATTCTGAACCACAAAAAACTATAAATAGTTACATAAAACTAATTCTGCGGTTTCCTGCCCAAACATCAGACAAAAACGTGCTATAGTCAGTTTTGGAACACTAAACTATGGATCTATAGATCTCAATAAATTTTAAAAGGAATCCTACTACCACCTTTTCAAGGCAATGTTTTGAGAAGCGTTTGGAAACTTTGCGTCGGAAATAGGACATATTGAAAGACAATAATGATAATCTGATAAAAAATTTTTGACCTGATCATGACTATATCGCAAAAAATTACTTCGGCGAATTACAAAGAAGACGTGATGAAATCAAAAATCGATTCGGAATGATTTAAAAATACTAATGCAAATAAAACAAATGGAAGCTCAATTTCCAAGGCATCAAGTTATAAGACAGCAATAGAACTCGTTTATTAAAGCATCAAGATATAAGAAGCAATGACGAAGTCACCATTACCGAACCATAATATACTACGAGCAAACATTTGATAATATAAAGTATAAGTGTAGTGTAAATTAAAGAGACTATAGATTTAAAGAAATGTATTGCAACGTTGCAAAGACCTCACAATTAAACCATGAACGCCTGCTCAGCAATGACGCAGTAGACAAGGAGATTTAATTCAACAAGAATCGATATACGAAAAAGTATATATCCATATACAAGAAGAACTGAAAGCTTGCAGTCAAAATGTTGTTGTAAGTAGTACTCCTAATCATTTTTAAAAATAAAAAAAATTTATTGGCCAATTGTTTATGGTTAACAACAAAAGGTTTGTCAAAATTCTTTTATTAATAGAAGTAATATTCTGACTGAATCAGTAAAGAGTCCAGATCTCATGCAAACATTTTTGATACACATGTGAGTCATTGACTACATTCATTCTCGGACATGTTTAGGAATACTTTCAAACTAACAATTTGTTGCTTAACATGTTTAAGTACTTTAACCTCATTGAGAGTACTTCTGTCACTGGTGCAGAATTTCTGCATGAAAAGAATTAATTTTTAATTTTCATAAAAAAAAAAACAAAACTTGAAAAAATAAAGTAATTTAATCGTAAATAATCAATTTGAGTATTAGTGATACCAAATAATGTACTTTATATTTGCAAGAACAATCAAAGTGGTACTCGAGGACTATATACAAAATCGAAAATACGATGCCTCATCATACAAGCACAGCCTCATACTAGTTGTATTCACTAGTCAGATCAGTTCCAAAACATTCATACAGATTTAGTCAGATGTTTGTTATTTCGAATCGTCATCTTTAAGCTGTCCAAATAGATCTGCAAAAATAAGGTTTTCTTTTTAAAAACGATATTGAATAACAAATTCAAGATATACCTCATTTCATAAAATATGTATGTATTAATAAGTTTCATATTGAACATGGACCACATATCATCGTTTCCACAGTCACAGGAAGTACTATTTTATGGCTCACACACCCAAAATTGATCCATTATGGTTGATTGAATTACGTGTTTTTCAAAAAGGTTAAAAGCTATTAAATAAGACAAATAAGTTTATAAAATGTTCACGACATGAAAGTTTTGATATTTACCAACAATTAATTCTAACATATATAAACTTATTAATTGAAACAGTACTCAAACTGATGATGTTTGAATATTTAAAATTCAAAATTAAATGGTATTATATATGGTAAATCCTTTCCGTTGTGAATTGCGAAAGTACTTATAAGATATATTTTTTATTTTATATTATAATTTTCAGTTGTACTAGTTAGTAATATTAGTCCATTATTACAGGATTGTACGATTTCTTGGGGTTTCAGGATTCAATGCTCCCGTTTCGTTCATTAAGATTTACTTGTGAATCTTATTTAACGTTTACATTTAACATAAATCTCACACAACACTCAGTGTAAATTCCAAATACTCTTGAAACACATCATACCAATAATTTATATGTTAAGTACAGAAATTTGACGGACCGTTGTCTTTTCAGTATTTGTAGCATCCAATTAATTTTTGCAGAACTTACTTTGCCGTATAGTAAAAAATACAGCTGCATCTATAGTATATATATAAAATAATAGAATTTAATGTTGAAATATGAGAGTAAATTATTTTTGATTAGTTACCCATATTATTATATTAAGTTTCTTTTATATATGTATCCCGAAATGCAGTGGTGTGGTAGAGGGGTAAAGGGGAAGAGGGTAGGAGGGACACCATCCATTTATCCAATAGAGTAGAGTTAAATAGAGTTAAATAGAGTTAAAAAAAGTTTAATAAACACAATAATATCTCTCAGTGTATATTTGCAATATATCTCGATTTTCGATTTTAGTTTCTCAAATTAGTGATTATCCAATTTTCTTTAAAAAATAATGTTGAATTGGTGAGGTTTCCAAGTTTACTTTTAGATATATTTTTATCAATGTGATCCCGCCTCTTCATGCGCATTGACTGATAAATAAAAATAAATAATTATTTAAAATTCATGTGTTGACTCATTAAGAGAATTAAATATTAAAATAGTTGTACATGTGTGTTTTTGAGAGTTGCGAGTAATTTCTGTGAAATTTTGTGACAGTTGATCAAATTCGGATACTATCCAGACATAAAATGAAGACGAGAGTTTTATTTGATGATGATTTTCATACTCGTGAATGTGAGGAATGTGTAATATTTAGTGGTTTTGAGTGAATTTGTCTTTAATGATATGGGTTCCGATTCATCAGAATATATAATCTGTATAAAGTGGATGTGGATGTCGATGTGTTATAGTCGTAGTAGAATATTTGCTATTGCGATAGTCGTAATCATTTTCATTTATTTATGATTGTTTCAATTTATCTTTCCAAGTAAATTACAGTAAAATATTTCAGTTTCACTATTTTTATATTGTAACTACTTACATATATTTTATATACATTCCTCTTTCCTTTTCTGTATTATAATTTTATATAATCTTATAAAATAAAAAATTTTAATAAAATAGTTTATTTATATTCCCAACAATCATGCAAAATCAGCAGTGAGGTTATCTACGAAAAACTTTTATTTTAAAAACGGTGAAATGGAAGTTTCAAAATATGACAAATAAAATAAATCAAGGAACTTACATCGACATCGACACCGACTCTGCTCATTATATTTCTAAGAATTTAATTGATTTTCTCATTTTTATTTTTTTTGCTTTGTTTGACGCGTTATTATTTCTTTTTTCGCTATTTTTTCCATCACTAAAGCTATTTCAAGTAATCCTTACTAAAACCGTTCAGAATAGAAAAGATCTCTAGAATGAATGATTAACTTCAACAACTTACCTTATATGAAAACTGTTTGTACTTCAGTACAGCAGCCAAATTTTAGAATGGAAACCCTTACGTTCCTTCCATAAAAATCCACTTAACGTATAACTTTTATATGAATTTTGACTCCAATATTTCGTGCTAAACATATTGAAAATTTTACAAAGACTTGAATTTTTACATTTTTTCCAAATATTTTTAACTCAAATTTTGATCTTAACTGAAAGAAAAAATTTTTAAATGAATTAGTTTTCGTTCAATTTTACTAGTTCAAAATGCAAACAGTTTCAAGAAATATCGATGAAAACTTGATTATTATTCAGATCTTATAAATTCATTTTTTAAAGAGAGTGACAAATTATGACTTAGAAAATGAAAATCTGACTGTCTGACTGTCTGACATTTTTGTCACACTGCAACATTATTCACACAGTCTTTGTAAGATTTTGTCCTTAAATGAGAATAATTAAACACGATAATAAATTAATTATTTTCAAAATTATAAATAGAAAAGTGTTGGTAACAGGAGGTTTGTGGGATTGTGGTTAAGTGCAATCCGATTCGTTGTATTAACGAAAAATGACGAAAACTGATTGAAAATTTTCAAAACCCTTTCGTTATATACGTACGACGATAAAACAAGGTGTGTGCATCGACAAATGTACGACGTAGAACGGATATGGTATAGCATGTCGTAAGATATGTCATAATTAGTTTAGTAGGAGATTCGCAAACTCATTTGTATTGCAATTGTATACAGCTATAGTTATATAGTTGTCTGGAGACTATTGTATATCACGAACAGCTGTTTTGATTAACTTGTTATTGCAACATTCTTTCGTTATTTACTCAAGATAGATTATACTTAGTTCCAGTGCTAAAATAACTAAAAAAGGATATCAGTAAGCCAATTACATTTCTTTAATTAAGAAATGCTTTAGCACTGTAACAGATAAAGTACTCACTATGAGTGATAAAATACTGCTGCCAACGAATCCAAATTTTTAATAATAAAATAAACAAACATTAAGTAGTAGTAATAACAGAACTTTTGTGCTCATTTCTAGTTCTTAGTTGGAATTCGTATTTCATTTCTTAACTTGTCTAATTAGGGTATTTTCTAGTCTTGTTATGAAGATAGACAAGCCAGACCAATCAGACTAATTGAGTAACTGCTGATCATCATAACTCTTGAGTTAGGGAAACAGTTTTAAATAACTTATATATAGAAGAATAGAAATCAGTCAATGCCACAAGCAAATTGAAGTGGAAAATCAAAGAACTACTTGATATGTTTCTCTTCACCTTTGTATCCATCTAGAATATGTAAAAGATAAAAGAAAAAGAAAATATTCTACTGTTAATCACTGCTATAAAATGTAGGTGAACTTTGAAGTGATCAACTCATATTGCCGAATCAACTCACTGATATCAAGAAAGTTAACTAGGAGAACTTTTAGGTTCCTCATTTCTTATAAATTTGGATAGGAGAATTGAGTGGGTCTTCTAACTCGACGAAAGTATGGTAAACAAAGGTACTATACTTGATCTTTTCTTTTATTAGAGTGCATTCTAGGATGAAAGTCTGATTATCTAAATATAGTTTTAGATAAGCTAAGGCAGTGCAAAAAAATGACGTTTAGTAATGACTCCTTCAGGTTAATATGTATTTGATCTATGGAAGTGATAAGGGTGGACATATTGAAAATACATCAAGTCTAATCAACTTAATTGTATGAGTTGGTTAGACTCCTATTTACCCAGATGGCCAGAAATTCAAACACTAATTATGTATAGTCTGCTATCCAAATAGTTACATTCGTGTACTTATTTGGACGATATGTCCCGAGCGTTACTGTACTAACCTTTTTAAAAGATATTTATAATCACTTAAAGCGATTAGTAAATATTAAGTTAGTTGTACGTAAGCTTAGCTCTTGAATATATTAATGCTTTTAAATAAATAGATTTGACTTATTCAAAAATACAATCAGTTCTGACAAAGATATATGAAAGACATATCGTTTTGTTCCTATGTTCCATTGTTCGATTATTCAATTCTGTTGATGAGAAGACGAATTCAGAATTGCACTTTCTTAAATCAAGTGCAATATATACGAGTATTTCGTCAGGAAGAGGTCACAGATAATATTGAGTAGAGTAAAAGTGCTTTGGTCACTAACTCACGGTTTATTAAGTAACAGGCAAAGGGTAAAGAACAAAGGGAATCAGTTGTGATATTAAAATACAAATAAAAATTTTTTACTTATATAATAAAAGGTCTCAGGCAAATTGTTTAAGGACTTACCTAGTCATTTTTTTGTTTAACATAAAGGTGGAACAGAAGTCCATACACTCCTTTTTTGCTCAATTAATTCGGTAATATCGAAAAATATTTGAATTTGATATTTTGAATTTTGAATATAAGAAAATAAAATATAAGAAAAAAGAATTAAATTGATTCATGTAATTATGCAAAGTTTATGAAAAGTATAAAAGTTGAGTTGATTAAATATAATTTTTCTCGGAAATTTTCTCTGACTAAGTAAACAGACGATATAGGTAAATAGTTGTGTAAAATTATCTCAGTGCAAATGGACATTAATCAACAAACTTATTGCGTTATAATGTATACTGTATACTATCTAACAACAACAATATTTTTGTTCAGATTTCTAAAAAGTCAAATGGTGAGTACTTTTTCGGAAGACTCAAAATAAATGAATGCACTGAGTGCAAACTGTTACAATTGTGTACAATTGTGTTTACATAATTACCGAGGGTGGGTAGTTATCAAGTAGCTCCAGAATATTTTTCACAAAACTATAAATAAATGAAATAAAACAATAGATCGTTTCAAAACTACTGAACAGACTACTTCTACTTCTACTTCTACTGCCAATTCCCGATGTATTTAATAATAATGAAACGAACATTGAAGTCGTAAGTAATCAGATAAATAAAGGCCTCAAATTACTATTAATAACGTCGAATAAAAATTCAAAACACACTTATGATCACTACTCACATCCACTACTCTCAAAAATCATTCTAATTAAAAAAAAATCAATTGTTAATATGTATAATCTTCGTAACCAATTTTGTAACTTCGTCATATTAAATTCAATCATACTATACATGCTAGTAATTGTGCGAGATTATTAGGAGATACTAAATGCTATAAGATAAATAAAGTACTAATATTTCCACACATTAGTAATAGGTATTATAAAATAAAATATTAATTTTCTGACGGTAAAATTTATATATTGTTAACTGCAAGTGCAATTTATAAAGATAAAAAACACCACATGTTCTCATTGATAACTAACAAAAACAGTTACACAAATTGCTCGTTAGTTTTACAAACGAGTTAATGTTGTAGTAAATAGTTATCCTTATTTTTTTTTTGTGAGAATAAAAAAGTTCTTATCAAAACTGAAGCTAGTTTAAGTAATCGTTACTAAAACGGGACAGAATAGAAAGTATCAATAGAATGAATGATCGACTTCAACAACTTAACATACCTCATATGGAAAAAATTTATATTATAGTACAGCAGCCAAATTCCAATATAGAAGCGTTTCGGCTTCTGTCATGAAGTTCCACTAAAGGTATAATTGTCGTATATGAATCTAATATTTTGTGCGAAACGCATTGGAAATTTTACAAAGACTTGAATTTTTCACATTTTTTCCAAATATTTTTAACTTAAATTTTGATCTTAACTGAAAGAAAAAATTTTGAAATGAATTACTTTTCCTTCAATTTTATTAGTTCAAAATGCAAACAGTTTCAAGAAATATCGATGAAAACTTGATTTCTATTCAGATCTCATAAATTCACTTTTAAGAGACAGTGACAAATTGTGACTTGGATTATGAAAATCTGAGAACTGACATACACTTATGAAGTCATGAATAAAAATATATGTTATAGATTATAATCCTATCGAAAACAGTTTTTATACAATTTTTGTAAGACTTTGTCTTAAAATGAGAATAGTTAATCACTTCAATGAACTAAACATTTTCATATTCATTAACAGAAAAGTATTGGAAATAATAGGTTCATGGGATAAGGATTAACTGCAATCAAAAAATAATATATCATATATGAACTATCACGACACGCTATTAGGTATAAAATAAAAATGTGCAATCATTTTTTAATGATTGTCTCAGATGTAAAGACATTGTATTGTGTTTGTTACTGAAAACTTCAGCCTCAACATTTTCCAGAACAAGATTATCTCAAAGTACTGCAGGTTATCAGTAACATCAATATCAGCACAGTTAAAATGGAATAGAGACCGATGAGAAAGTGCACGTCAAACCTAAAACGGATAGGGGAATAAGTAGTTGTTTGTTTTCTTAACGTTTAATTATTTTTGTTTGTATAATTGGGGAACTATGGGTTTTTTCCAAATTTTTATTACTTGTGGATAAGAAATATATTTATTTGTTTATATTTTAAGAGCAGTACTCTCTTCTTATTATGAGCATATTTTAGGTTGAATGGCCTTGTCATTGCTTAGTAGGCTTTTTCAACTATTCAGATTTATTTTTATGTGATTCTTTTACTATTGCCATAACATATCTTCAATAATTTGCTAAATGCATTCCTCCATAGTTGCAGCATTTAACTTATTCGCTGACTACTATAAACCTGAGGTGTTTTATTAGGTTATGTTAGTGGGTTATGTTAATTTTTATTATTTTTCTAAAGAAGGGTTGGGAAGTAGTCTCCGCGTCACTGCATCCTCGAGGATTATTGTGACAATTTTTATTATAGTATTTAGAATATTTGTTTTTTCGTATATATTTTTTATATCCTCGGTAGATTCAAAGATGAAAAGAGAAATATTAAATAGATCTTTGATTTTTTACTTTAATTTGTGGAAAGTATTAAGTGATTTTGATTCTTTCACATATAGAGTATTTAAAACTGTTTCCCTATCTTTTAGTAATTTACTTAGTCAGTCAATTACTCTGACAGATTCTTCTTCGTAACAAAACTAGAAAATACCACAGTTAGGTAAAAATGTTGTAGTTGAGCGATAACCGCTTGATGGGCTTAATTGACTTTGTATTTGATAATTTATTCTTGCAATCATTTATATACACCATTTATAATAATAATTGGTTGTGGGTGATTTATTTTATACCCAGTATAAGTTTTGT